CAGGCCCGGCAGCAGTCCAAAGTGGCAGTTCCGCTAGCCCTCCTCCTTACTTTTCCAAGCGAGGAGATGATGTGCTGGAAAGCAGCCCTGAGGAAAAGGACTTGGGGGTACTTGTAGATGAAAAGCTGGACATGAGGCACCAATGTGCATCTGCAGCCCGGAAGGCCAACCGCATCCTGGGCGGCTTCCAAAGAAGTGTGGCCAGCAGATGGCGGCAGGTGATCTTGCCCCTCTGCTCTGCCCTGGTGAGACCTCACCTAGAGTACTGCGTCCAGCTTTGGGGTCCCCACCACAGAAAGGACACAGAAGCGCTGGAGCGTGTGCAGAGGAGGCCACAAAGATGATGAAAGGACTGGAGCACCTCTCCTATGAAGACAGGCTGAGTGAGTTGGGGTTGTCCAGCCTGGAGAGGAGTAGGCTCTGGGGGGGACCTCATAGTGACCTTCCAATACCAGAAAGGTGCCTATCAGAAAGCTGGGAAAGAACTCTTCACTAGGGCTTGTAGCAATAGGACGAGGGGTAATGGTTTTAAACCAGAAAAGGGTAGATTTAGGTTGGATATGAGGAGAAAGCTCTTCAATATGAGGGTGATAGATCAGTGGCACAGGTTGCCCAGAGAGGTGGTGGAGGCCCCATCCCTGGAGATATTCAAGGTCAGGCTTGATGGGGCTGTGAGCACCCTGATCTGGTAACATTGTCCCTGCTGACTGCAGGGGTTGGACTGGATGAGCTTTAGAGGTCCCTTCCAACCCCTTACATTCTGTGATTCGATGTTGTTGTATATGTAGATGCACTAAACCACGCGGTGGATGGTCTGCTGCAGCTGCGCCTGGGCCCGAGGTGTGGCTGAAGTTGTGCTGTGCTCTCCCTCTCCTTTTCGCTTGAGGAAGTGAGCAGAGCAGTGCCCAAAAGAGCCGATTGTGTATGAAAAGCAATGCAGACCTTGCTGATGTCAGTCTTCTGCTTGGTAACACTTAGATTTGTTATAATGTAATGTGAGGTGTATGTAAGCATGGGTGAGGATCGCCTGGAAGATGTGCAGCATCTGGAGAAAGTTAGCAAGGTGACGCAGCCAAGTATTGTGGGGAAATGTCAAATTTGAGGAACGCTTTAAATATGAATTACGCTTTTAGAGGAAAAAAAAGACAAAAAACTTACGGCATGCATTTTAATGAAAGTAGATCTGTAAGATGGAAGCTGTTGTGCTGCATGAGGTGTCAGTGACAAGAACAGGAGATGTAGGCCAAGTACAGCTCAGAGATTGTTCAAGGCTGGCTGTGGATGTGATCCACCAGTGAAAGCAGCATGGAGTCTTCCTCTAGCACCCATGAAAAGCGAGTGCCCGTCATCTTTTGGTCTTCCTGAACCGTTTCAAAATTGCAGTCTCTCTGAAGCCAGACAAACCACAGGAACGCCCAGCAGTGTCCCAGTCAGTGGCTTTGTGGGCCACCTTCAAGTGTCCCCTCTTCCTGATGCAATGGACTGGCTGCGCGTGGGCTTCTCGCTGCACGGGAGAGCACCAGGAGGCAATTATCCCGTGCTGGTCCTTGAGGGGAACCGTAGCAAAACGAAAACCAACATGAGCTAAATTGGGAACATACTCTCTTAAACTCTGGTAAATGTGTGTGCATGAACTTAAAGGGCATCAGCGGTTGGGCTTCTATTGGAGGAGGTTTGAAGCAGGTTGGTAACTGGATTGCTGCTTTAGGCGATTTACTTATGTGCTCACCACCTACTCACAAACCTGGCTTTTCCCTTTCCATGCCTTGGAAGTTCTTGCCTGCATGTGTTGAATGCCAAGACAGGATCCTTTGCCAGTTAGGTTGTTTGACCCTGATCTGGGAAAACGCTTAAGCACGTGCTTAAACCTAGATCGAGGAGATGTTCTCTCGAATTTAAAGGTGGGCAAATTCTGTAATGCTGTAAGGATTTTGTTTTTTTTTTTAATTCTCATGTGAAGTTGCAGGAGGGTTTGGGCTCAGTGGAGCAACTGGCTCTTGATCTTTCTTTTGGGGAAGACAGATGAACTGGTTGACCTCTTGAAGTTCTTCTCAGCCATGTTTCCTATGGTGGGTAATGAGGCTATTGAAACTGTGCAATGATGATTGAATCTTTGGAAGGGATGTTAAACCTCCACACATCAGCTCTCACTTCTGGAGATCAAAATGACATCTTGTGTGTGGGAAAGAGGCAAATTATCTCCCAGCTGCAGGGTTCCTCCACCTTGCTGTCATGTGTTTGTGGTTGCTCACTGACAGAGGCAGGATCCTAAACTCAATGGGCCACTGTTCTGATTCAGTATGGCAATTCCTGTGGTCCCCTGGGTCCTGTTGACTTCAGTGAGAATTAAACACATGTTCAAGCACTTTCCTAGAAAGGCAGCTTTTCTGTGCCAGTCTCTGTGCCCTGCTGCTTGAAGCTCTGCAGTGAAGAAAGCAGGTTGCTGTTAAGTGCTTGGATCAGCCCTACCACATCTTTTTATGTGTTTTAATGGGAGAATCCTAATTTATAGCATGCGCTTCTATTTTAAAAATAAATGCAAGTTGTCATAAAGTCAAATCATGCTCCACGTCGCAGTTATGCCATTGAGTAGGAGGTTTCCATTAGTGCCTGTGGAGGGGTCGTGTGTACAATTGGCTGGGAGGAAAAAGAAGCAGCTTGAGTTTTATGGCTGGCGTTGCTTCTAAACCTGTGTTGCAAGAGCACCGAGAGGCGTGCGTTGTGTGGCTCGCAGCCCTTTGAAGTGGCTGGGTTCAGTACTGACAGGATGGCTTCCCTTATCTCTCTCCTACAAAGAGGACCAAGAAATACGCCTGTGGTGTGGGATTCTTACATTTCCAGCCTTGATCAGGTTGACAGCTTTTTCCTCCTTTATTTTTTCCACTCCCCACTGTGGTTAATGAACAAAGCTAGTTGAAAGCAGGGAAATGCTCTGCCCCCTTTTTAAGAGTAAATGAAGTGGTAGGGTAACAGCTGTGTTTGGGTGCTGCTGCCGATCCCCCGCTCCGGGATGATCAAATGGGTGGAAAGTTTACAGACTGCCTGTCCCTTCCTGTGTCGTTACATCTGTGCGGAGGGTTTGGCAGTGGCTGGCATTTTTCTTGCCTCCAATCCACACTCAAAACAAGAGTCCTTCCTTCTGAGGCGAGTGTGCCCCAGATGAGGCTTTGATCTGGGAAGCTCAGCTGAGTCTGACCTGGTCTGTGTAGGGATCCCAGAAACCAGCTGGCTGTGATTTGCAAGTCAGATGCCTGCTGCTGTATGGGAATGGCTTGCTTAGTCTCGAGCTCAGTTCTGCCTTTAAAGAAAGCAGAAAGTGGCGCATATCAAATAACTAACAGTCTTTGAAAAGTTAGGCTGTGCCTTTTTATCCAAAACAGGAAGAAAAATCGGTACAAACGGTGACACTGAAGTATAGCATGAGAAAGTGGATAAACAACATCTCTGAGCAAAGCATCACTTTGCCTTGGGGGTGCTGCCCTGCGGGGCTGATCCGTTGGTTGTACCCAGTCATGTTTTCAGGAGTTATTGCCCAAAAAGCTGTGAGCTATACTAACTCATTAGCCTTGAGCTTCTGGTCTGTTTACAGCTTGTGAATTAATGGGTTAGTGACGTGTCTCAACATGAGAGAGGAGTGATGGGAAGATGGGAAGAGGTTTTTTTTCTAGATGAAGAATGTAATTTTGAGCTAAGGGGGCCTTTGTAATTAACTGCCTCTGTTGCCTGTCCTGGATGCTTTCCTTGTTCTAGAGCGTGGTCCCCCAACTTCTAAAGCAGGAGGTGTAATTGTGGCCTTTGAAAGCATTTTGTGCCGTAGCAAAAACAGGAGTAATAACTGTGCGTGATCGTGTAAATTTTTCTCTCTTTTTTCTTCTGCACAGGGACCCTCCAGAGGGATCGTATTTTTAAGAACCTCACTCGGAAACGCCAGCGGGCGATGCGAAGGCGAGTGCATCAGGTGAACGGGCACAAATTCATGGCTACCTACCTGCGCCAGCCTACGTACTGCTCACACTGCAGGGAGTTCATCTGGTAAGAATGGCTTGAATGCGGTGGTGTGAATCTTCCTGTCCCTTCACATTTTGAGGACCAAATTGCCAACCCTGATCCTGAATCGGTCACCCAGCACTTTACCAAGGGACAGCAATGTGACTGCCCTTGGCCATCAGGTTTAGCAGGGTACATTTATGCTGCAAACTGGGATCTACCGCAGAGAGGCCAAAGTTGATGTGTATCTTTGTTGCTGAGAGCAAACTGGGAGAGTGTGGGGCAGCGTTCCTCACTTGAGAGTATAGATATTATTTCAGGGTGGGAAAAAGTAACCCAAGCAATCTGAAGAAAGACTCCAGATATTAACTTCAGTAGAGCTTTGAGGTTACACGGAGAAAAAAGAGTTGCTTGAAAGACAAGAGAAAATGTCTGAGAACAGAAAAGCCGTCAGAGGTGTGAGGTGATACATGTGGAGGAGTAGGCAGAGCAAGGGAGAAAAACTTAGATATGTCTCAAAAGAGCATGGAGTGGGAGAGGTAATAACAGGGTGTGGGCTGCTGGGAGCAGTCTAATAAGTGTGGTGTGTGTTGTAATAAAATCAGGTATTTCAGAAACTAGGGTGAGGGGGAATAACATGCATGTTGACAGCTTGTCCTATAAGGTACAGCCCTTGTAGTGCTTTGTTATGCTCTCACACCTCTGTGCTGAATTGCACCATTAGTATTGGGCAGTTTTGCCCCGGGGATCTGTTCATTGGGATCCTCTTGCATTTTGGCTCTCTTCTGCAAATGATCTGCAGGAAGACTGGCTTTCTGATGTTAAATTATGTTCATATTTTGTTTGAACAGGGGCGTGTTTGGGAAGCAGGGATACCAGTGCCAAGGTAAGGTGCTTTGCTCCTGCCCGATGGGTGTGTAGGATGTGGTGTTTTCGTGAGCACTTTCCCATGCTGCTGGAACATCCTGGGGTTACAACCTTCTCTGGAGTCACTGCTCCGCTTCCGCCCCAGTCATCCAAAACTCTGCATCTGAGCAGCTGTCAGGCTGACGGCTTGCATGCACACAGGAGCAACCACGTACCAACACTTAAGGGTCTGGTTGCTGTGTTACACCCACGGTATTCCTCCTGCATAGGTCGACTTCGAACAGCCAGCGACGCTTGGGACATCCAGCATCCCTCCAGGACAGTGTCCAGCTGGTACTGGGACACAAAGTACTCTGCTGGCATGGCCATCCTCTTCCTTTCCCTCCCTGTGAAGTTCAACAAAGTGAAATTAGGGATGTGACTTCAAAGGGAAGCCCTGTGGGCTGGTGCAGCACTTTGAGTGCACGTTTTGGCTGAATGGCTGGATAGATATGTGTGGTGCTTGTTGTTCTGCCTTTCCCCTTTTCTGAGGTACATGACAGAAATACTTGCTTCACAGGTGCACCGTCATTCAGTATAGCCTTTTAATGCAGCCCGTTTCTTCTGCAATATAATAGGGCATGGAGTTCTCATATGAAAGGAAGCTGTATGTAAACAAAATGGATATCCTGCATGAAATTTCGAGGTGAAAGTGAGTGTTATTGATAGCCCTTCATGAATGGAACTTAAGTCAGCAACAGGCAACATAGCATGGGACCCTGCAACATATCTGCAACTTGCAGTTTCCATTACAAAAATCCATGGCCCTTGGTGATGTCTGCAGTGCACACTGGATTACAGAGTGGAGGAATCCAAGTTCATTCCAGCCAATGCAGCTTCAGACCTGGAGAGAGCCCAGCTCTGCTTTAGGGCCGGTTAGCCCAGACACAGCACGTTTCTGCTGCAGTTATCCAGCTTCCCAGGCCCAAGCATTGCACTGAGCCTCAGTGACAAACTAACCTGGTCAGGACTCACTTGGATGTCCAGCAAAAGAAGCACTATGACACTGAGCTGTAGTGATGGCTTTTGGTATCTCAGATCCGTGTTCTCTAATGTTCTTTGTGTATGTTATGAAGAATACTCCACTGGATAATTTCACCAGCATTTTTTTAGTTCATTTGTGAAGTTACACTGTTATTTCCGTGGGTGTCACCCGTATTTTATATAGGTAGCTCTTTTCTAGGCTGTACGAATGATCCAGTGCAGGATTTTTATTGCAGTGGGATCTCCAGATTTATTAAGAGATCGATTATTTTCACATTTTACTGTGTCTTGATGGTATAGCTGAGCCATAAAGAAGCCAGCTGATGGACTGAGGTGTTCTGAGTCTTTCAACAGCTCTTTTCAGCATGCCTCTTTTATTTCCTAGTATGCACCTGTGTTGTACACAAGCGCTGTCATCATCTAATTGTTACAGCTTGCACGTGCCAGAACAATACTAGCAAGACGGATCTCAAGGTAAAGTCATGGTGGTTATTTTGGGTCGTTATAATTTGTGAATCCTGAGGTTTTCTGGCTTTCTGGGAGTGGGAGCTGTCCTAGAATAGAATTTACTCTGTGTTATCTTTATTCATAGATTTTAAAGTGAGAGAGAGTGATAGGGTCATGTGTAAAAAACATGCAATATCATCTGGTTGCTCTTCTATTAATTCCAGTAACTTGCTGGACTAGCACATAGTTTAGGAAAACATGGTGCTTTCACAACAAGACATCAAGAAATAGCAAGTCCACTGTTTTGGTTGTTAATTTTCTTTCTTGATTAACTGTGTTATCAACAAAATGTAGTGCCCTGTTCTTAATGTGGATTTCTCTGGCTCTAAAATCCAACCACTGGTCTTTGTTATGCTTCTTTATCTTTTCTGGGAATTTAAAGTGCTCATTTAGTCATCGCTCCACACCTTTACTCTATGAAGTTACTTGCGTTGTAATAAGGAACCCTTGCATAATTTGTGTTCCTGAAGGTTTTCTTTCTTGCCAGTTTTGGCTGGATTTGACAGGAGTAAGATTCCCACCTAAAGCTGCCCTGTACATTGCAGGTCTCATTTCTGCAACTGGAAATAGTTTAATAAGTGAAGAAAATTCCGTTGAAATATTTTTAATCAGGAGGTAGCTGTGTATTGCGTGCCATGCAGAAACCTTCTTCCTAGTGCAGAGAAACAGTTGCCTTTGCTTGTTATTTCTTGCCTCTGAATTGCTGAGCTAGACTTCTTAAAATGACCCCTTGCCAAACCAGATGAAAATAAGTTAAAATGCTCACGGCTAAAGTGCAAGTTAATGGGTGAGTCTCTTCACTCCTCTTTTAGGATTGTGAAGGGTTTATAATGCCTCTAAGCTACTTGAAGACAAGGGTGAGGAGGCACCGCTCTAATCTCATTGTTTCAGTGGCACCCCTGACTTTTTCTTCGTGAAATTTCGGGTTGCCCTTCAGCCTTCTGGGATCTGCAAGTTGAGACACGAAATGGAAAGTAATGAAGAGGTTCAGTGGGGATGGGGTTTTTCAGCTGGTCTAATATTTTCTGCATGATTCACAGTTAGAAAAGAACAAGGTTAAAAAGGGGATGAGAGCAAGTGATAAAGTGAAATGTGGGCCTGAAATGAAAGACTGTTTATACCAAGGAGGGTGAGAAGAGGAATGAGAATTTTAGGAGGAGTTGTGAAAACTGTTCTATATTAAATTTAATAATATCAACAGTTTGACCTATAGTTACATGTTTGCACATAGTCTGCAAGTTCATAATTTGAAAACTGGTGAGTTACAAAGTGCTGTAGCCAGCATAATTTATATGTGGCACTTCAGTGTGATAGGTTTGTGATGAGGCAGTCTGCACTTCTAGTTCTGACTTGGTTTTGAGAATTTAGAATTGACTGGGCAGCCCTTTTAAAGTCTGCTTTGTCAGGTAGTCCAGCTTGGCCAGCAAGGACAGCAGAGCAGGCTTGCAGCCAGTGAGGTTGATCACTCAGTGTTTACCTTTTCTGGGTTGGAATGATTTTCGTAGTTTTGCACTAAAATGCCTGTGTGTAAATGAACATCAGCTAATACATATGTATTTTAATTTTAAATCTGTGCTTTTCTTTTGATGCCTCAGGTGGCTGAGCAGAGGTTTGGGATCAACATTCCTCATAAGTTCAGCGTCCACAACTACAAAGTCCCGACTTTCTGTGACCACTGCGGTTCCTTGCTCTGGGGAATCATGCGACAGGGCCTACAGTGTAAAAGTGAGCAGATTCTTACTGTAGCCTTTCCACAAAACACATATAATTCTAGACTCTTGATGTGTTATGTGGGCTTGATTTGTGCAGCCTTCAAGAGAAAACTGAGCAATGAATATTCATCTTAGCAAGTGTTAACAAAAATGGTGATCTACTTTTTGATCTCAGGCTTTCAGAAGGACTCTGCTTTGCACTCTCAGCACAGCTTTGTTTGACTGGCATTATTAAAAATATTTTGGGGTATTGCTGCTTCCTGCTTTTGTTTTTCCCTTTACCTGAAGGCTTTTCCTCAGCCAGTGGGATAAGGCAATGAAAAGGCATCTAAGGGGGAAAAAAAGGTCATTGCTTTAGGTTGACTACCCTGTCTATCACACTGTGAATTGATGGCAAAGCATGTCCTGGTGTTATGTTTTTGTTTCAGTGATCCAGACCGTAAAATCCTAAGGGTAACAAAGAGTTTCCATTTGCCTTCATCTCCCACAAGAGGCTGTATGTGTGTCCATGAGTGACAGCAAGAAAGATTTTCATTTCCCTCTGAACAATATATCTTTAAAATTAGATACCTGCAAATGCAGGGGAATTTTGTTGCGAATTCTGTGGCATTATAAATTCTAATTTTACCTGCAGCCACAGCTGCAATGGTATTTATACACCTGATAAACAAGTGCTTATGAATAGCTTCAGGCAATGTGACATCCTGCTTGGAGAGTTCAGTGTATATTCCTGATTTTCAGGAGTTTATTCTCTTATGTGAGTCCTAATTTTGTTTCTGCCGAGATCAGTGGCAAAAAACCCCTTTTAGTTTAAAAACACAGGGTACATCCAGATGGGTTTATTTCCTGAAGCAGAATTGCTAAATTATTTCTCAGCAATAAATCCCTCCAAGTTATTTTAATTATTCCTTTGCTTTTGCTTTCCATCCCCACCATCATCCCTGTCAGTCTGTAAAATGAACGTCCACATCCGATGCCAAGCAAACGTTGCACCAAACTGTGGGGTGAACTCAGCAGAGCTTGCTAAAACCTTGGCGTGCATGGGTCTGCAACCAGGAAGCATTTCCCCAAATTCGGTGAGTCTTTCCCACCCCCCCCTTCCTTTATTTAAAACATTTACAACTGAATCCTTATAAGGATGCAGGAGAAGTCAGAGACTTCAGTTATGGCAGATGGGATTGGGTTGTTACTGTCTGTGGCTTGTGGCACAAGACATCCCTTTTCCAGGTGCAGTCTTTATCCAGGTCCATCCTGACAGAGGCTTTAGTCTGTAAGTGTTGCTTTGACCGCTTATTTTTCACAGTGGCATGACTCCATTGACTCTGTTATCTGTTTGACATGAATGAGAGGAGAATAAGACCCCAAACTAATTAATGGCCAGTATAATTCATGCCATACCTTTTTTTACCTTTCCTGCAAACAGAGGGGCACTGTCTATGTATGTGGCTTGGAACAGAGCATAAGAAGAGCTCAGCAAGAGGCCTAGGTTCTCTTCCCCGCTTTGTCACTGTTTTTCTGAGTGATTTTGGGGAGACTGTTTTGCTCTTCATTACAGTTTCCCCAGCTATAATCTGTGGTCCCTGTCAAGACATCATCACCTCTGGTCTTTACGGCCCAAGCAAAGGTCCTAGTGAGGTTGTTGCTAGGGTTGGGACATACATGTACAATTTCTGCTTGTCAGTACTTAAGACATCCTAAAAATCCAACCGTTGTGTATCTGAGTTTATTCAGAGAGTTTAAAACACACTGTAAGAGCTTGAGTGAAAATACCCAAAAAGGGTAATAGAGATCAGAGCTGTCATTTGATAACAAGCTTTCATCACATTTCCTTTGCTAGCAGTTTTGAAAAACGAGTTTGCTTGAGAATACAATAACCCATCATAAAATGTTGCTCTGTTTATTTTTATTTGACCAAAACCAATATAGTCATACCCAAAACGTACTTGCCAGACCTGGTAAATCTTGCCATATAGTTAGTCAGCTACATCAGTTGACCACGTGGTACTGTATCAGCGTAACCTGGTCATTAGGCTGTGCTGCCCCTTTTGATTTCAGTTGGTTTGTAGCAAATGAGGCTTTCTTTAATTTCATGCTGTGGCAGTTCAGCGGGGCAGTTATCCTGGGAGTTACAGGGAAGCACAAGTCCCACAGTCCCTTCTTGGCTCTGTAAAAATCAGCACTTGTTAGTATTTGTTGTTTGCATAATCTGCACATCAAAAGGAGATGAAACCAGGAAAAAAAGCCCAGTTGTTTAACAATCTCATTATTTGTCAACTAAAGGCTCTAGATAAGTGTTTTGAATGCGCTGAAAGCTAAAATCTTTTGGGAGTTTTGCTGTCCTGAATGCTCTGGGTTCTTTCCCCATGGCTGGGATTGTCGTTTGTATGGCAGTGAGACAAGGCTTCTGTGCGGGAAGAATTTTGCTTTACACCAAAGTAGTCACAAGGTGGAGCTCAAGAAGTCCGTGTGGCTTTGTCAGGGCTAATAAACTGAATAAAAAAGTACTTGTGGTTTACACGCGTACTCATACCTGGAGAGCTGTGAACAGAGGGCGCTGGAGGTTTACGTGCTCTTTGTATACTGCGAAAACAGAAGCTCTGGAAATGTGTGCTATACTGGTACAATTACTGACGATACAGAAACCTCACTGTTGGCCTGGGAAAGAAAAATATTTTGAAGTTTGAGTCCCACTGAACTGAGCTTTGAGTAAGAGTCTTAAAATCAGGTAGAAACCTAAGAGATTCAGATAGAACCTGCCTCAGTTCTAGATCTCACCAGCGCTTTGCATACAGCAGAAATTATGCAGTCCTCCTCGCTCTGATGTTAGATAGGAGACTTGGTTTCCTGCACTCACTGTCTTATTTTTCTGGGGAGTGTGGATGGAGAGAGACAGGTTTGCCTCTTGGATCTGCTGGGCAGTGGGTTTCCAGCTTGAAATGCCCTGGTCAGGAGCCAGCGTTGACATCTCAGCAGTGCTGAGGTTAGCCCGTCACGTGTAGCAGCTACGTGGGGTGGTGGTACCAATGTGCTTTCTGTTCCAGAGCACGTACAGTGCATCTGAACAGGTCCTAAATGCCCAGGTTGGTAGGTTGACTACCTGTGTACACCTCTGAGGCAAAAATATAACTTCTGTGCAGACTGATACTTGCTTTCCTCCACAGAAACTGGTTTCAGGATCTACTTTGAGACATCAGGGAAAAGGCAGCATGAAAGATGGCAACAGTGTCAGCGAAAGCTCAGCGAGCAAACTTGGGATCAAAGATTTAACCTTCCTCCGTGTACTGGGAAAGGGCAGTTTTGGAAAGGTGAGAGTAATTCATGGCTCTTTTGGGGAAAACCTCATTCCTTATTAAAGAAGTTTCAAGATAGATGAAGTTATTTCATAATGTGACACACAGGCTGTCCGGTGGAGTATGCTTTGGGTAACAAAGTTGGTTAGGGAGAGCAGGGAGAAAAGGGAAGAGAGAGAAAGCTGACAGCAAAGTGAAAAATTTGATAACACTAAAAAGAGTTAGCAGCCAAAGGAACTACTGCATGCCAGGGCCCATGCCAGAAATTGCAAGTGTGTGCATTATAACTCATTTGGGCAGCATTTCTTGGAGCATGTAAAGACTTCTCCTTTAAAGGAAACAAGGCAGTGGTTTCAAATGCAGTGAGGTGGCAGTTTTGTTTCTCTGCTTTGCCACAATGCCAATGTGAAATGATGCGTTTAAATTTGATAACTGAGGAGGGAAGTGGGATGGATGGTGTTGCTCAGGGGGTTTGTCCTGGCACACTGGATGAACTTTGACGACCTAGCCCTGTGCCAGACCTTGGAGCAACGTGTGCGGGCATTTCTATCCAAAGAAGCCTCTGCAGACAGTAGCATATCTGTCATTGATTGTACACTGATGGCCACGCTAACAGGCTGGCTTCCTTGCATCCACAAGCCTGGTCATGAGGTAACTGACCTCTCCAGTGTTAGAAGGTACAAGAGGTTTTGTGTTGCTCATAAAGACTGAGAGCTCAGCCCTTGCGATTCACCCTCCCCTTTGATTTAGGTGATGCTTGCCAAGATGAAAGAGAATGGGCAGCTCTATGCAGTGAAGGTGTTGAAAAAGGATGTCATTCTCCAAGATGATGACGTTGAATGCACCATGACTGAGAAACGCATCCTCTCCTTAGCAAGGAACCACCCGTTCCTCACCAAGCTCTACTGTTGCTTCCAGACTCCTGTAAGTATAGCCCAGGCAGTGGACAGCCTTCCTCGTGACACTGGCTGGCACATTCAGGACAGAGGCACTCTCCTGTGTATTTGCTCCCTGGCCTGTTATAAATCTCCACTTTAGACCCAGGAGAAACCTCTCTGCTCAAGAGTGAACAGAGCACTCTGCTGTATTCCACCTCTAACGTCTGCTGGGCATTTGGGAAACAAAATCCTGGCTTATTCTAAGCTCCCTAACACAATGGTAATAGCAGGGGAGCTTTTCTTTGTGTCTTCCTTAGAAACACCTCTGTGCCATTGAATGTTTCCAAATGCATATACACAAATGTCTACAGACCTGCAGTGTCCTTTGGTTGCTGTGGGATGTCAGGCCCTGCTATGTGAATTTTAATTGTACTGCATTTGCATGGAATTATCTGCAAACTCAATGAATTGTACTTGGAAGCAGGGGTAGCCTCCTGTACCTACCAGCTTTTGTATGCTGCTCAGAACTGAGTAAAAACTCCACCTGGGGTCACTGGAAAGGATCATACTGACATGGGTGGACACTGAATCAGATCCATGGTTAAATTACTGGACAACCATATTATAGGTGCAACCTCCCCAGTGCCAAGCAGAGGCGATAGTGACTTCCCTTGAGCTCCTGAAGCAGCCCAGTGAATAATATAACTATGGTGGACTTCGCAGTGTTAGGTTTATGGTTGAACTTGATGGTCTTAAAGGACTTTGCCAACCTAAACAACTCTATGATTCTGTGATACACAGTTGGCATTTCTGCTTCTGTAGATAGGACAAATGATAACCTTGCTGTCACTTGTGGTGTGTGTACCTCAATGGAGGACTGCACATGCGCTGTCTGTCCAGCTTACAGCCTCTTTTGGTGGGTGCATGTGGGTGGGAGCTTGTTGCTGGTGCGGGTGGTGGAGGGACAAGTGGCTGTGATGGAGGCAGTGGACACAGCTGTGTCCCAGCAGGGTAAGTTTGGGAGTCCATGAGCTAAGCTGTTATTACGACCAGAGCATTTTCTGCAGTGTAGCTCTTCCAAACTGCCCGGGCTCCTTTCCAGTTGCTTTTTGTCCATTACTAAATGGTAACTGAGCTTGTTTTCCTCTTAGAATAGGCAAGAGAAACTTGCCCTTTTAATTACGGCTTCACTCCTCCTGCATAAACCTAAAATACTGGGGAAAAAAAAAAGGCAGAGAAATGCATCCCTCCACCTACCCATTTCTCTTCTCACTGGAGTGATGCAACAGCCAGCAATAGAGTTGAGTTGTGCTCATTTAGGGTGGAGCCCTTGGGTAGACTCACGTAACAGAAAACGAGGTGGTTTGTTCTTTTTATATATATATATATATATAGCTTATGTGGTTCACAGAGCAGCTATGCTGTATAGCAGAAACAAAACTTAAAGCTCACTGTTGTCGTCAGTAACCAAGGAAACTCCTCTTTTATTTTGTCGTATGAAGACACAGGACCCAAATTTGAATGGCTTTCCTGAAGTTCTCATGTAAAAGATCAGAAAAGTCCAGTGCTGATGTGTGCTGTTTGAGGTCAGATGCAGCATCGCAGTGGTTATTGCCACTCGTTGCTATGTTCTTTGCTATGGCTTTGCTTGCTGAATCGCACTGGAGATGTGAAAATAGCAAATGCACTCCTGGGCTGTGTAGAGTATTTCCCATTAACTTGAGGGAGATTTAAGGTCACTATGCTAATGCTGTCCATCATGTTCAAAAAATGAATGCAATCTGCTATGGGTGCAGACAAGGTCTTCTGGGCTGATGAAGTAATTGCAGAGGGGAAAATAAAGGGAAGAGCTCAGCCTGCTTAGACTGGCAAATTGAAAGCAAAAAGAGGATCTGATTGGTGACTGCAGATGTCGAACACCGAGGAGGGAAACAAAGCTGTCAAGATGCTGGCTGAGATTAAATGAGTCTAGACTGGCCATGGATACGGTTAGACTGGAAATGAAAAGGAGGTTGCTAAACAGGAGAGCAACCTGGAACAGGAATTTCTGGACCAGCTTCTCCTCAGAGGAGTGGAGCGAAGAACTCCCCAGCCCTTGCTGCCCTGAGCGCAGTGCTGGTCAGCTCTGAAAGGCTTCAAGGGAGTGGTGCTTGTCATGGCAGGACCCTGCTATTCTTCCAGTCTTTCCCAGGTTCCTCTTTTGCCTGAATCCCACTTTGCTTCATTATCTGCATTGTCAGTAGCAGAAAATCACTTCCCTCCAACAATAACCAAAACCGAAAAGGGAAGCATTTACAAAGGAAAACGTAGTTTTCAGACTAATGCCATTCATCGCAGCTTCTGCCCGTGTTCTACACTCAGTGGCACTCACTTCAATCCAGAATGACCAGATTTAAATTGCTTATAAGAGCATAATTAAACCCCTTTGCTATAATAGAGAAATGATTGCAACAGCAGGATGTTCACTGGGCAGAGTCCTTCCAGGAGGTGTTAACCAGGCTGATACAGTACTTAGGGTTTCTGCTCATTCTTTACGTGGCATTGGGTTATCCCCTCCATTAACATGAAGCTGGGAGGAAGAAAACCAACCTGTAATTTATAAAAAAGTTAAAGTAACCACTTATTCAAAATGTTGGCCTGCAGCCATATTTAAAAACGTCACTGATGTTTGGAGTTGGGGCCAGGGTGACACAAAACAGTACCTAGTTTCACTTGCCGTTACATGGAAACCACATCACATGTGTCACACTTACAGCCTAAACTCTGAAAATGTGGTGGTAAGGGTTCACATTATAAAAAAACAAAGCATGACTCCAGTCTGCCATGGAGATGTGGATAAATAATGACCTGCTGGGCCTGTCTTTAGGAATTTTTCAAGAACTAGCCATTTTGAGGCTTCTTAACATTTGTCAGGGCAAAGTCAGAGCCTGATCCCATAAGATGCATCAAGACAGGCTGGGACTAACTGGCAGGGTCGTAGTCCAGCTGGAGGCTACTTCATGGTAGGTGCCAAGTTCAGTGTGAGCCAGCAGTGCAGTCTCGTTGCACATAAGTTAAATTATGTGCTGGGCTGCTTCAGGAGCTCAGGGGAAGTCATCATCCCCTCTGCTTGGCACTGGTGAGGCTGCACCCAGAATAAGGGTATCCAGTTATGGTTCCCCCCTCCCAGCTCAAGAGGAAATTGTGGACACTGGAAAGGAAGGACCTTGGAAGCACCTGAAAGGCTGCAGCAGTTTGAGTACAGAGCGCTCAAAGGGTTTGAGGGTTTGGCTGGATCTACGGCCATTTGAATCCAGACTCTGGTTCAGTATTCCACCCAAACCAGCAAACTCTTCTCGACTTGCAGCTGAGGGCTGACTTGAGCAGCCCTGGGGAATGTCTGTGCTGCACAGTGCCATGTCATGTTGTGCTGGTGTTCTGGCATTAGCTCAGCTGGTACCAGAAACAGCAATGCGTCGCCTGAGTTCATATATGTTGCTGCTGCTTTTGCTCACCTATTTTAGAGCTAGAGGTTTTAGAGCTAGCTGAGGTTTTTTTGTGCTTACACCAGCTGCTTACGGTTTTCAGAAAGGTTTTCTGTTCTTTTGTGCTGCTTCTGTGCTCAGTGTGGTCCTAATTTAATCTGAGCTGTAGCATAAGTGACAGTCGCTAGCAAGGGCTGCTTTATTTGCCCAGGGTGAGCTGAGGCTGCCTGATCTCCAAGCAGCTTCCTGTCTCTGTCACAGAAAAACATCGCAGCCGCTAGGTGGTAGGAGCTGCGAGGGATGTCTCTGCCTGGTGTAGGTCACAGTTTTCAGAGCCTAAAGAGGAAATAGCAGCAGCACAGCAGGCTGGCAGAGACTGAACATGGCCCTGAGAGTGCCCAGCGCTGCGCTGGGCAATTTTGGACTTGCACCTCCAGATTCCTTTCCTGTGAAAGGCAGGGGAGAAGCCCTGCTGGTCTCTTGCAGTGGGAACAGTTGAAGTCATGATCACTGCATCTGTGTGAGGTCTTCCTCGCTCACTGCATCTCTGTTTGTTTGTTTATTTCTTTCTTTATTTTTAGTTGAAAGCCTTGTTTGAGGACCTTTCCACCTCACCTAGGCCATTTACTTCTGCTTTTTCTAAGGCCTTAGAATCATCCTTTAGTGTCAGAGAGGATTACGCTCCTGCTGCAGTAATCTGGGAGTTGATGACAGGTGCTGGGGCTGACCTGTGGATAATCATGGATCCTGTGTTAAGGAGCACCAAAAAAATGCTCGTTTCCGTTTACCTAACACTGGTGTCATCCAACGCATCAACAATATTGTCCTAGAACGGTGAAAGAGGCTCTATATATGGATGGCTAAATCAGTAATTTAATCCTGGGGAATGTGGATCCTGGCATGTTTTAATTAAAATCAGTTTGCAGTAAGTAGGTCCTGTCTTCGCTGGGGTTTAAGAACCATCCTTCCTGCACAGGTGGTTTCCTTTTAAATCCTTTTGTCTCCTCTCATATACATGAGAATGAAGAGGGCTGGGGGAGATCAGCTTCCCATGTAAATAGTGTCAAATAGCTCCTAGGTTTTATGTTTATTGCCCTTATCCCTTTTCTCCTGACCACAGGGTGCTTCCAGGGGATGGTCCCCATGGCGATGCTGTTTCCAATGCTTTCCCTCCCAGCCTGATCGTTATATGGATTTGCTCTCTGCGTGGCTCTGCTGACTGTTGCTGAGGCACAGAGCCTGCCCGTGTCATTCCAAAAATAGTGAGACACGAGAACTTGGCAGGGGGATGTGATTTTCTGAAACAAGTGTCCTTCTGAGATGATAGCTGGCAGCAGTGCTCTTGAAGCTGGTAGGGACTGGCCCAGGGACTGCAGGGCAGCTAATCATTGAACTGGTCCCATTTTACAAGGGCAGCCTGACACGCAGCTTTCCAGCCCCTTTTACAAGCTCTGGGCTGATGTTATGCTCTCATCATGGAAGGGCAAGGTTTCTCCACGTCTCTGCTGGTTCCTGGGGTGCTCAGACTGTTCTCCTAGGGTCAGTGTGAGCATCATGTCATGAATCATCCAAGTGTTTAGGA